ATGAAGCCCAGGGATGTTTTGTTCCTTCATTCTGATCTATTCTCACTGCTGACCAGTGACAGGACCCGAGGGAACAGCTGGAGCTGTCTGAGGGAGTTTTGTTTGGATATTAGGAAAAAATTCTTCCTCCAGAGGGTGGTTGGGCACTGCCCAGGCTCCCCAGGGAATGGTCACAGCCCCAAGGCTGCCAGAGCTCCAGGAGCGTTTGGACAATGCTCTCAGGCACAGGGTGGGGTTGTTGGGGTGTCTGTGCAGGGCCAGGACTCTGATCCTTGTGTGTGTGTGTTCCATCTCAGGATATTCTGTGATTCTCTGCAGGATTCCCACAGCTGCAGACACCTCTGTGCATTGTCCCTGAGGGAGGGGATGCCAGCAGTGAACAGTGGGAGCATCCCCACCTTTGCAGAGACGGCAACGTTGGGCTCTCCTGGCAGCACACGCTGTCATCCCATTTCCACAGGGAAATCTCAGCTTCCTGCACGTGAAACTGCCAGAGCCAACAGGTATAAAAAGAGACAATTTGAGACTAAAATCTGCCATCAGCAGGGAAAGTCTCCCCGGGAGAAAAGAGCCTTTAGATGGGTAGAAAGAGCTACAGGACACGTGGATGTGCTGGCGGCAGGTGTAGCGGAGGCAGAGGTGACTGTGGGGCACAGTGTGGGGGACAGGACTGGCTCTGGTGGACGTGGCAGGGTGGTTACAGGGTAGCAGGGAGCTGGGGCACAGCCACTTGGGTTTAAGTCATTTGGAGGGATCTCAGTGCCAGCAGCTGGAGGTCCTTTTGCCTCGGAGGCTGGTGAGGAGGAGGCTCCATCACTCCACACTGCTCCATGAGCATCACTCATGGGGCCAGCTGGCCCCAGAGGCACAAACCCAGCACCTGGTGGCTCGTATTTGCGAGATTTGCCCTTGTGAAAAACGAGGTTCACATAATTTTTATAGAATTTAAAAGTTTAATAAAAAAACAATTAGGAGAAAAAAATAAAGTATACAGATACCGTTGGGTGTCTCTGCATTCAGCTGAGAGCACACCTTACTAACAAAGGATTGTCCCTTAAAAACAGAATCCTACTACATATCCATAAATTCTCATACATATTCACACATTCTTCTTAGGATCTTTGGTGTTCTTCTCTTTAGTTTTCTCTTGCCCCCTTCCCAATAGATCAATCTTCTTGGTGCCATTGAGATTTACATTCCCTGATACCAGAAATGCAATTAATTCCTCCCCCCCAGAGTTCTAGTCACTGCTGTCTTCATCTGGATAAGATAGTTTACAAAACAAAAAAAGATCTCCAGCTATCTTTTTCAGTCTTTGGGTTACACAAACAAAAGTAGTTTTTGTTTTAATGCTATGTCCTAGCTTAACATACATGTATCATACCATTATTTCTAAGTTTCATTAATAACAGAAATAAAGAAGACTACATTATTACAGCTAAATTTTCTAATCTTATACATATAATATTTATTATAATACTTGTGAAAAGCCAATAATATGATATGCATTTATAACACCCTTTTCCATACTAATCCCTTGATTTTGATCCTGTTTCCAGTAATTGCTTTTTCAGTTCCAGGTGGGTGGGGTTTTTTGTTGCGATTTTTGTTTGTTTGATTTGGTTTGGGTTTTTTAGTTGTTTTTTTTTCCCCCTGCAATTTGTGGGATTATATATATTAATATATAAATAATATTTTATATTATTTATATATATTATGTATTAATTATTAATTATATAATATTAATTATATTATATGCTACTTATATATTTTATATTATATATTAATTATATATACTATAATATTAATTATATTATATATTATTATATTAATATATATTTAATATATAATTAATATATATTTATATATATATTATATGTATATATAATATATAATTAATATATTATATATATTAAATAAATAGTGTTATCCACTAGACCAGGATGCTCAATGGCTTTGGGCACTGCCAGGGTTGGGAGAACATCTGCAACCTGTTCCAGTGCTTCACCACCACCACCACAGTAAAGAATTCCTTCTGTGTATCTATTTCCCCCTTTAATGTGAATCCATTCCACCTTATCCTATTCCTTCAAACCCTGACCAAGAACCCCTGCAGATACTGCAGCCTGCTCTGAGCTCTCCACGCAGTTTTCTCTTCTCCAGGCTGAACAGCCCCAACTTTTTTATTCCCTTTATTCCCAAGTCCGGAGCCCCCGCACGCTCATCCGCTGAGCCTCGGGGCCATCCCGTGGCACGAAGGGGAACTGCAGAGGCACGGGAGGCGGGAACAGCGGGGGTGTGACCGCCGGGCCACCGTGACAGGACCGTGGTGGCCGCGCTCAGCCTGGGGACAGCGGGGACGCGCCCGAGCCGGGGATCACCGGCTGCCCCCGGGTCTCCCNCGCGGGATGGGGGGGGCGTGGTGGGGTCTCCCCGGTGCCACCCCTTCCCATGGCGGGGAGCGCCGCTGGAGCCGCCCCTTCCCGGGGCCTCGGGGCTGGAGCGGGGCCGGGGACCCCGCAGGGAGGAGGGCTGGGAACGGCCTCCCTGTGCCCTCCGGCTTCACTGTGGAGCCGCGGAGCCAGGCCGCTCCTTCCGCCGGGACGCGCAGCTGTGGGCTTGTGACAGCGTGGTGCCCTCTCCCTGCCCCGGGTCGCTGCCCTGCGGGAGCTGCTGCTCCGGCTTGGGAGGCATCGCTCAGTGTTCCTTGGGGAAGGGGACGGAAGGAGGGCTCCTGCTGCTCCTTGCTGGTGTTCAGCCCTGGGAGGGCCTGACATGAAGCCCCAAGTCTTCCAGGACGTGCCAAGACTTCATCTAAAAGTTTCTCACAGCTGTCTTTTCATACAGTTATTTTATTGTGACCTGCTATGTTGAAGCACTGAGACTTTGGCTTGAAGGTATTTTATGAGCCCAAGCTACTTTTGGTTTTGATTTTGAAAAGAGGCCTTTCCCTGATCCCTGAAACTCTACTTCCTTGGGCTTTGGATGGTTCAAGCTGCACGTCTCACAAATTACTTAATCATTGCAGCATATTTAGATCAATTAGTGCATATTAGTTTTTATATGAGGTATTATAAAGCAATAGTTTTAATTTAGGAACCCCCTATTAGTTGAGATTGGAGCACTGAGGATCATTTAAAGAAGGATTGCACAGTCTTAAATCCTGAGAGATGAAACTGGGGAGTAAGAACTGAAAGAACTTGTACTCGAGAAAGGAGTTTTGCTTTAGGAAGTGAGTAAGAGGAAATGATCTCAGATTGGCATCACAAAGTGTAGCCCACGTGTGTGGTGGAGGGTTTGTTTTTTTAACAACTTGTTCTTTTTGCAAGCAACAATATCTTGCCCTCACGAGGGAGATCTGTGCCTGTCCTCAGCATGTCCTGTAATATATGGGAGTTGTGAAGGTGAGAAGGTTATTTCTGGTGAGTGCCAAGCAGTTACATCACAGCAGGAGAGACTCTGTTTGCTCTTGTAGGTTTTGTTGGGGGTGAAGAGATGAGCAATTGGAGCTTGATAGGTTTGAGACAAGAGAATGTGGTGGTAAATAAGTTGTGGTAAATGGTGGCAGGGAGCAGTAGTGCTCTGTGTATTTGTAAGTAAATTATTATCCATATATTGATTCAAGCCAGAGACTTTTGCAACTGCTTTTCACGTTTTTTCAGTGGGTGCCATATAGAGCTCACTCTCTCTGTCCATATAAAACATGCCCAAGTTTTGCCCAGCTACCATTCATTTTTCACATATTACTGGAAAACAAAACAAACAACAAGTCATAATAACTAGGGGATTTGTCACCTCTTTCTTCTGCAGTTTATAAAGGTCATTATATAAGTTTTTGAAGTTCAGCTCTGTTCTCCAGTGTGGCACCCCTGCATTTTCAGATGCATCTTAGCTTTGTGGAGACCTTTGTGTATCTAGAGATCATGGAGCTGTGACCAAAAATCCCCACTTAATTTGAGAAAGAGTTGCAGGTTGACTTTAGAACAAAACCAAGACAGAAATAAAAAGAAACCAAATACAACCTAAACTTATCTAGGTGGGTTTTGGCTTGTGCACCTTGAAATCTTTCTTTAAGGAGTGCAGAGGTGAGTCCTTTATAACTTTGAGTTTATAGGGAGAGAAAAGGGTCACCTGGCTAATGATTTCATTCCTCAGTTGGGTGTGCTACTGCACTACTTTTCCCATTTCATTTTTGTGAATAACAAAAAAATGTTCTTTGGTAGCTGGTTTGGAGTTAGTTTTTTGTATTTGGTATTCTAATATACATTTTGTCAATAAATTAATATTTTTTTTAATATGATTGATATATAAATCACCTTAAGATTAGCTGATGAGAATTTTGGTGCTATATCTTTTATATGAGGCAGACCTTGCCCATAGACCTTTGCAATTCCAAGTTTTGGGTTACTGGGTCTTTTGTGTCATTTTTGAATATATGTGAATTCAAGTGTCTGATTTAGAAATTACAGAAATATAAAAAAGCTCCTTTTCATACTTCCATCTGAAAATTCTGAGATTAATTTAAAAGGCCACTTAATTTGAGATAAATGAGGTGGTTGATGATGTGGAACAGTCTCTTCTTACAGTGTCATAAATAAAACTTCCCCAACAAAGTAGTAAGTATAAAACCAGTCTTGCAGATGCCTTTGTGAGTAGCTTCTCAGTGAAACACTTGTCTGATGTGGTAAGTGGCCCAAACAACCAAGTTGCATTCAAGTTCCTAAACTGAGTAGAATTTAGTGGTTATGTACATTCTTTAAACAGAAGTTTATTTAATTTATTTCTTTTTCTGTTTCCCACCCGTGGTCTCTCCTAGTTTCTTGTTTGAGCAGAGAAACAAGAAAGCAGCTCTCTGGGTTCATAGTATACTATTCTATAGATCTAGATCACAGTTAACCAGGTGAGAAGAGCTGAAAAGAACTTATTAGGAATGACTTATACTTTCCCATGCTGGGCCTCAGAAAGCTCACCTGTTTTCAACTTTTACAGGTAACTGGAGCCCTTCTCCAGACAGGCAAGGTAAACAAATGTATATTCTTTCAGGCAGTATATGAAAGAGAAGCTTTGTTTATGTCTGCCCAGTCAGTAGAGCTCACATCATGCTTTAAGGTGCTTCAGTAATTAGAAAAATTGCTGACAGACAAAACTGGAAAATAAATGACATGGGCTCATTGTTATTACTACATTTAAAGCTTTTACCTTCATCCTAACAAGGTGCCAGTTCCACTCAGGCTTAACTGTCTTGCTTACCTGAAAGAGTAAGCTCCGTGTGTTGGGAAAAGATGGAGCTTGTTACTGCTGAAAATAAGTATCAAGCTAACTTTTCTTTGGTTTTTTGAAGATTTGGTAATTATTTACTCTCTGCTGTAGGAAGATGAGCTTCATGGTGGCTCTCAGTCTTGGGAAATGGGATTGCTGGTAGAAGAATGTTGTCATCATAAAAGTTGCTTTTCCCAGTTGTTGCAATCCCTGGCGACTGAAGCAGATATCCTCTATCCTGCTTTTAGTCGCTTGGTTTTCCCAGACTTGGCTAATATTCATTCGTGGATGCTGTGTGTAGTGACATTGTCTCTTGGAATAGTATCTGCATTATTGCAAGTGTTGTCTTGCCTGTTTATCCCACATTGCCCTAAGCTTTATTTACATGAGAGTTTTGAATTACTGGCTGGGACTGGAACTCTGCCTGAAAACACTTCACCTATAATGCAGCAGAAGCGGTTGGTTTGTGGCTTCTCTTTGATACAATGTTTTCATTAAGTAAAAACACAGAGAAGGGTATTTTTCAGAAGATGTTAGTGTGCTTGTTTTGGACCTAGCCCTTTTCCCCAGTGAATCAATCATTGCACAACTTGGCATGACTGGCATTCCCTGATTGAGAGGCAGAAGCTCCAGCTTGCAGATCAAAGTGGAGCAACCGATCGGAATTCGGGTGTCCCAGCAAAACCAGGCAGTGGAAGCTTGTGGGTGGCCTCAGTGCTAGGTAGGTTTTGCAGCTGTAAATCTTTAACAATTGTACTTGGGAAGAAAAACCCGAGTGCAGTTTGTGTTACTTCTGGGAGAACTGCTAAAACTGAGCACAGATACATTTATGAAAAATTAAACACCTCACAAACTCATAGAAGCCTTGAATCTCATAAGGGAAATGCTAATGGTTTAGAAGTTTGACTTTTAAGCAAAGCATGACTTCAAGATCCCAGAGCTTATATGTATCTATATTAGAGGTAAAACTTTCAATATTTAAACTGTTGCACAAGTGTTCTTTGGAAGTACTTACAAACGGTGTTTGCATTCAATTTACAAATATGCACCCACTTCCCCCCACCCACAAAATATAACCCCACCAAACAGCCTGCTTGTGAAATAACACCAGTGGGCAGACTAGACAAGTTTTAGTCATCTTTTTTTAAAATAAGTAATTGTGTGACACCGTTTGGAAACAAAGTAGTCACTGCAGTTTTGAAAACAGACTCCTGATGAAAGGGGAAGAGGAAACCTTGTATTTGGACTTCTAAGGAAAACACTGGTGTGTGCCTTATTGGCAAGGATTTCTTCAGGCTCTGTTTTCATTTATGTGTAGAGTCACACGTTACAGGTATCAGGCTGTGTATTTCTTCTTTCCAATTTAATTCTGCCCTTTATTTCCCAAATAAATCAATTTAATTCTACATTGTGAGCAAATGCTGTTGTCTCTATATGCATCTGGCATGCTTTGTGTCCCAGAAGTTGTATTCTCATTCCCTTATTCTGTGATGTTTGGATCTCTGTAGTGAACTGCTTGTGGTGGGAGGAACAAGGGTTAGGTGCTGAGCATTCACTCCTCTGCCTTTGTTTCTCCTAGGTTCAGGTGTCCTTCACCCGTGATCCTTGAGGACAGGAGAGCTCTCTATTCCAAGGAGACCTTAAAGCTAAACACAGACCAAAAAAAGGAAGGACAGAGCGGTCACGTAGCTCCTACACTCAGGGAGGATAGCTGAGAGAGACAACCGTATGTTGTGTTTCTTGCTGTTGTTGCAGAGGGCACAGCAGCTGAGGGGGGCTGGTCAGAGGAGCCGTTCCTCACTGTGTGACCATTTGGATGGGGATTTGGCCCAAGAATAGTGATATTTATTTGGATTATGGACTTTCTGTTGTCCCAGCCTGCATGTTAAGTGATGAGCAGGCGTGGTCTCCTTTTGCTGTAGCAGATTTACGTTTGTGGGTTTTTTAATGCAGGAATAATGAGAAAATCTCCTGTGGGTTGTCAGAATGTTGCTGACAAAAACATTGAATGTATGAAATTCTGTATCTCTTTTCCAAAATACTGACCTTCGATATTAAGAGATGTCCTTGAGATGTTACAGCAGGTATTTTGGAGGAGGAAATAAAGCAAGATACATTTCCTTAGTAATTCTTTAGCAATTCTTATGTCTTCATTGATTTTTCTTTTATTATTATTGTTGTTATTATTATTATTATCATTATTATTTTCCCCCTCTTCATCATAAGCCAGAATGCTTTGTCTGTGGAAATTTACATTGGTTTTGAAATGAGATGGAACATTAGTATAATGAGACTGTATCATAATGAAAGTAGGCTTAATTAACCAGTTATTTAAAGTAGTAATGACTTTTAGAGTCATGTTTATGCTGCAGCTGCAATTGATTTAATCTTTGAGAGAGCTGTCCTTGTTAGGAACTTTCTGATTAATGTAGAATATTTCTGATTAGTAGTTAAGGTCCTCTGTGATATGGAAAGGGAAAAACTGGGTTTTTTCCTTCTATATGTATATTAAAGAAACAAAAGAAAACCTTAGGATTCTAACCCAGCTGAAAAAACTTGTTCCTAAAGAGCCAGAGAGATTGAAGCAGCTGATTTGCCACTTAAGGGGAGTGCACTTAGAGCGAGAGTCAGCATCTTCCAATGACTGTGTGAAATCTCCCAGCACTGTTTGCTTGATGAGGATAGTTTTAATTATTTATGGTAGTCACTCTTGAAAGTACTATCAAGATTTATGTAGTCTTGGATCAGTCAGCAGCATTATCTCTGCAAAAAGTGGATAAACACAGTTCTATAAATCATGGCTATATTGATAATTTTGTACTGAGGAGACAATCTTAATGATGAAATAGCTCAGAGTCTACAGTCTAAAGTGTGTAATAGAGGCCACACATAATAGAGCTAAAAACCCACATGTGTATAGCATAATGTTAGAAGAAAAAAAGGCTGTTTTAGAGAATATTAATTTTATTTTCAATTTCAGTCTCTCATCAGCTTCTGAAAATCAGTGATCATAAAGCATAACATGCTGTAAAAGGAGTTTCTGATAAACCACAGCAGCTTCTTGTTGGCCTCTGTCTATCTGAGCAAGAGCTGAATGGCTTATTGATCATATTTCTTCCCCATATGCTTGCACATTTTTTCAGAGGTGAGGTAATTTTGGCTAGGTCCTTGTTTTGTGGATTTGGCCATTTAGATGGCTGTGAGGTGTCTTAAGGGCTTAAGTGTAATATCAGTGCAGAGGAAGATGGGAGATTTAAATCACTGTGATTATGCTGGTATAATTCAGCCTAGTGGATTCTTATTACATATAAAAAGCCTTTTTCCAGTAGTTTCATAAGAAGTAATTTAAGAGTACATTACCAAACCGACAAAGAAAACCCTCCAAAAGCAAGACTGCTGTTCCAGAAGAAAAAGGGGTTATTTTCCAGTTACACTTGTGCGCTGAAATGGATTTAAAAACTTGAACTGCTCTATGTAAACAAATAATCTGTGACTTCATCACCTCGATCCTGAAATAAATAACAAAAAGCAGTTGTCATGGATGGAGAGGTCCATTCTGTGCTTCTGCATTTTGGGTTCTACTCAGTCTGATGATTTTTATCATGTACACAGTTCTTGTTTGCCATTGTCTACAGCTCGTTTGAATGAGATATCCTTGTAGGACAAGAAAAATGGGCTTCCTTACTGCTTTCATTGATGCTGTAGGTAAAACAGTGATTCAGCAGTATTTTGAATTTAAAGCAGTAAGTACAATTCAGGAATCAGTTCTGCCTAGTAATACAAATAGCTGCTGTGTGGGATTCTCTGTGAGGGAATCATCCTGGGTCTTTTGTGGATCGTTTATATTGCAAGGAGTCTTGTGACTCCATTTATTTTTAATTCTGCAGAGTGCTTGTTTACCTTTGCAAAGTGACAGTTTTGATGTCATTCTTTGTTAAACTTTCTTTTGAGGAAAGCAGTAGATGATATAAGGGAAGCTGACTCATTGCTTTGTTTTACCAAATTAGAGTTCCAGGGTATTCTTCAGATAATGTGAGTTTTTGTTGAGTTGTACAAAAGTAGTTGAGCAAAACCACTGAAGTATCTTTGGTGGTTAATCAGATGGAGACTGCTGAACATACTGATTTTGTCTGGAGGAAAATTAAATTCAGTATTTCTAGGGTGACTTAGAGAAGCGAGAACAAAATTTTGTTTTATGATCACTTCTCTATCTTTAAGCCTAATATGCTTTTTTAATATCTTGGTTATTGAATTTGTGGAATTGAATCTCTTGCTTGCATGGTTCATATTTTAATTTGAAGGTTTAAACCTTCTCAAACATAATTTCCTAACCAGATTGTGCCAGTTGTATTTTCTTGTAGAAGAGAAGGTCATACCATCCTACAGAAGTTGATTTTATAGCTTAATTTTAGAAGGTGAACTATATGAGGAAGAATTTTTAATCTTCTGGGTATGCTGAAACTTAAAAAAGACTCACTTTGGAGCCACGAGTGGAAAATACAGCAAGAACATGAAATCTAGGAATCTTCATTGTATTCCAAATGCAGCATTAATTGTTAGTGCATCTGAGCTGTAGAGAATCATCCTGCTGAGTTCAGAAAAGTGTTTTTGGCAAGCTGACTGGCAGGGTTGGATTGCAGCCCTGTGTTGAATGATTTGCCACAATTTAGGGTATCAAAATGTATTTTATTGGAATTTTCCTCCATGTCTCTTGGCAGTAAGAAATATATGAACTATAAGCATACTAATGCACTTCTGTAAAAATTTTACTGTTAATTTTCTTTATCTGTGGCATAAACTTGTCCTCCAAATGGGGAGGGGAAACAAGAATGAGCCATTGTCCGCTGCCTTGATGTGTAAAGACCTGCAAGACAGGCTAAAGGTTTTTCTAGCTTAAAATTTAAGACCTGCCTTTGACTCTGGCTGGAAAAGCAATTAAATGGTCTGTGAGCTAAGTGTGAAAATTGAGTAATGGAGGAAAGAAGGATTTTTAGTCAGTTTTTTTAATGTTCTGCTATTGTTCAATCTGTTTAATATCAGTGACTGGCACTTTTTAGAGGGTGCCTCTGATCAAAGATTCAGTATGAGTATTTGTAAGGCTGAGACCTAACAATGGAGGTGCTAGAACATCATCATGTAAAGCCAGAGAAAATTAGAGTTGGCAGTCTTTAATTACATTTTTTTTTTTAATATGAAAACTCTTTTGGGATGCTCGGGGACGGTTACACTGTAAAGAACAAAAATCCCCAGACAGCCCAGTTTAAAAGGTCTTGGAGGTCACCTCTAATGATGAGGCAATGATGTAATTGGTTTGCATTACATTATTCAAGTCATCATCTTCCCTCCACACTAAAGCTTTTAGCCTTGTGAAGAAATCACCGGTGAGAATTGGGCAGTAGGTTTACTTTAGGCTCTGAGCTCTTATTTCATAAACATGAAGCAGAATTCCACACCCAAATTCTGTAATTCTGAAGCTGTTTGGTCTAATCAGAATTGAGGTAGCTGTCTGTGTCTGTTATGGCTTTTTTGGACAAACTTTTTATCACTTTCCTTACTGAGCTAATCCAGCTGGAGATTTAGAAGTGGGTAAGAATCTGTCCAAGGGTAATCACAGCTGATGGAATTCATGTTCCTGACTGGCTTGTTTCTTTTGCAGATCCCTTGCAGTTGGCAGTAAATCAGGCTACAAATTCTTCTCCCTTTCTTCTGTGGACAAATTAGAGCAGATCTATGAATGCAGTGAGTATTTTTTTTTTTCTTTTCCTATTTTTTTTAGTCTCCTCAGTTGGCTTCATTTGGGAAGAACAAGAAATGTTTCACTTTTTCACAGGTTGTTTGATACTGTCATAAAAGGAACCTTAAGTGTTAATATCACATAAATACAAAACAGTAATTGCAGGCAGGGTAAAACTATGAAACAATGTTCTGTATTTAAATTTAGCTGGTATGATATGACATTTGGTACTATGAGCTATGACAGCCCTGCTTTTCTAATTTTATGTCCAGCCAGGTTACATAGCTGGGCATAAAATAATAATTTACTCATGTGAGAGAATGTATTTTGGGTCTTTATACTGGTTGTTGGGGCATGGAAGCGCTAATACACCTTTATCAAGTAAGAAAACAGAGCCCTAATTATATTTTTAATCCTAATATTTTTTATTAGAAAATTATTCTTTAGCATGATGGCTTGCTCATCCAATAGGGTGAATAACTCAGATTCCCATAACTTTTCTATAATGATCACAGTTGAGTAGGATCTGAGGTGAAATGGAGGGAAGCCTGTGGGAGAAGTGGTATCCCCTGTTCTGCCAGCAGTTGATAGACTTCCCTTTTTTGAGATGCTAATAAGTCAGCTATGAATGCTATGCATGAGTATCCTTGCTTTCTTGTAAACTCCATGTGAGCAGGTGGTACCAATTGCTGTGATGTCAGCATTTATAGTGGGATCCCATGACAGAGTTGTCCTCAGACTCCATTCCCAAAGTGACCTGACCCTGTGGCATGTCAAATTTGGAAATGGGGTGTGACTCAGATCACCCATTACCTGGGATGACAGCCGGCTTCTGTACACAGTCAATGGAGAGAGGTAATTGTGAGGTTCAAATTAGGCACCTGTGGTTGGGTTAAATAGTGTTGTAGCTACATCTTCCTATTTGAGTCATGGTCTGGTTGTACTGGTTAATAAGTGGCTGGGATTCCATTTTCTGCTGTGGAGTTTATGTACCTGACCTCTGCAGTATGTCAGGCACTTACAGTATCTGGCCTCATATCACCCCAGGAGATGGTGGAGATGATTCCCTGTTACACGAGACACTGAAAGATATCCTGTGAGGTCGGCTGCACTGGGTAGTCCTTGAGAGAAAAAGTACAGATTGGATAAAGTGCCTTGTTCAACATCTTGCAATAACCTGATAAAAGCAGCTGGAATTGGAATTTTGACCTGCTGATTCCAGTCTTGTCTTCAGACTGTTCTGGGATGCTTGTATTGACTTAAACTCTTGGACATTTTAACTTTTCTGAGTGTTAAGTGTGTGACAGCTGAGCACAGATTATGAGGTAACATTTAGTAGAATGTTTTGTGTTGGAAACAACCTTAAAGATCATCCAGTTCCCCTATCCCAGGTTGCTCCAAGCCCTGTCCAACCTGGCCTTGGACACTTCCAGGGATGGGACAGCCACAGCTTCTCTGGGCAGCCTGTGCCACGGCCTGCCCACCCTCACAGGGAAGAATTTTTCCATGTACTGAATTTCCCCTCTATGAATTTGAACCCATTACTCTTTGTCCTCTCACTACAAAATAATCTGATGGTTTGGCCTCTGGAAGCCAGGCAGTCTTGACTCAAAGCAGATCAAAATATCAAGAGGCCTTCATTTTCTTTGTGTGAGTCAACCCATTTTCAGTCTTGGACTTGCAAACCATGCCTGTTAAAACTTGATATGAGGGTGGAGGGCTTCCTGTGCATTGGGTACCTCCTTTCCTCAAGGAAAGGTATCCTGAGGCCTCTCAAATACGGTGCCTCCCACTTCCCAATTTAATTTAAGTGAGTCTAAAGACTTCTTGTGTTGAGTGAGCCCTGCTAAGGACCCCTCCTTCTCTTCTGGAAGATTGATCTGCCAACTCTTGTGTAGGTGTTTAAACTAAACTGCAGAATATGCCTCAGCTGTCTTGTTTTTGAGAGGAATACAAAAAGAGATGGGAGATTTCAGCTGCTCCCATCACTGATTTCTCCTCTGACTGCAAATCTCCTGACTCCCTGTGCACTTGATCCCACTGTAAAAACAAGCATTAGATTGGAGGGTGCTTTAAGGCTTAATAAATGCTTCTAACATGCTTCATGTTCTTGGATTAAAAATGGAATAAAGGCACAGCTGATCATAATCTAGCTGGTTCTAACCAGCTCTTGTCTGTGATGCTACATGCTTGTGTTTATGAAACTAATCTTGTTATGTGTTTGCTTGTTCTCCCCTCGCTGCTGATACTTAATTTGTTTTGCAGTTCTTTTTGTTCTTACTCTGTTTTGAATCTGAGTTTCTGGCAATGCTCAATTGTGTGGTGTAAAGGAGATAATACTAATAGAAAAAAACCAAACCTGAGTAACAGCATTGCTATAGGGCTTTAGTGCTGCTAAACATATTATTAATTCAGGTCAGCAGGATGGGCAGTATAGCCTGGTACCCTCTTGAATAGTTGCTGTTGGGAAGCATAAATTACTTGGCAGCTGTGAAGAGATTTTATCTCTTCTTCCTGTTAAAGGAAGACAAAGGAGCAGAGGTGCATCCTGTAATTTTAAAGTGGATTTAATTAAATGCCCATCACAAAGCCTTTTTCTAAAGGTAACTGTCTGTATTATAATCTTTTTATGGTGAGACTGAAGGATTATCAATACCTTTGAGGCATTTTGCTTATTGAAAATTTTTTCTTCTGTCTGGTGGCTTAGTTATTCATAGTGTTCTTCCCTGTGTGCCTTCCCTGCTGCCCACCCTTCCCCTCAGTGCAGCATAGGGCAGCACTTTTTCCATATGAATCTCTGCTGCTGTTCTTCTTCTGAAATACCAGTTCTCCTGCCAGCTTGGGAGGGTGATAAATCCCAGAAGCTGTGTCTGAACACTTGTCCCTGGATTGGGAAAGGAGCTGTGCTCACCCTGGAGATCAGAGCAGACTGTGGGGTTTGGTCTCTGTGTGCTGGTATTCTGACTCTTGTAAAAGGTTGTCATCATTTTGAAGGACTCCAGGCTTAGATGGAAAGCTGATAAACCATCCTGTAAAATATTTGAGAGTCTTTTATGTAACTTCTCTGATTCAAGGAACATGGACCTCTGCATTTCAAAGTCTCTGCATACATTTATTGAAGCAGATTTTTGTATTTCTTTTTCATGTGTTTTGTGTAGTATCGGAGAAATGGAGAACAATTTCTTGAAAACAAAGTAATTACTAAAATGCATTATCCCTGTTGCATGAGAAAATTGAATTTTCAAAGCCTCTGTGAGCTGTTATGTCTTCTCTGGAAAAGTACCATATTAAATACAAGATGTAGATAAAAGTCAATTATGTAGCATGGAGTACTGAAAATGCAGAGTGTAAACCTGCTCCTTTTTCATAAGCAGGCTGCTTCTCTCAAAAAAAAAAAAATAGAACATTAAATATTTTCTGTTCATTTTCTTTAAATAACTGCCCAGAAAAAGTACTTTGAAAGCAGACGTGTCCCACACTGATGGCAGTGTCATATACTGAGAATGCTGAACAGAACATTTTTTCATGGAATTTCTGTCACTGCTGATGGGAACAGTGCAAATTAATTACTTAATGTTTCTCTTGGCCAAAACAGAAGCCTTCAGAAGCAAGCTCTTTTGGGTTGGTTTTTTTTGTTGTTGTTTTTCTTTTTACTGGCAGTTTTATGGTTTGGAATGTGTTAAGCACTGAGCTAATCCAGAAGCTGACTTCTGAAAAATTTGTTCTGATGGATCAAGGCCAAGTGCTCAAGTCGCTTGTCTTGATTGGGTTCTGTAATGAAAGGGCAGGTGTAGCCAGTGGCTGTGAAAGAGCTGCAGAGGATGGCAAAACTCTCTCTAGCTCCTCACTGCCCTGAAAACTGTGTCCACTGTGTTCCTGGGGTTTTGGAGAGGAGCTTTATGGGATGGAGAGGGAGGCACAGATGTCAGGATAACTGGTGGTGGGATTTGGCCTCCTGCCAGCATGGTCCAGTGCTGTGATCAAATGCTCTGAAAGTGCTTCTCTGCCGGGGATCCTGGACTTTGCTCCCTCCTGCTGTCTTCTCACACAGGGATTTGTGTTCCTCCTTTGCTTTCAGTGCTCCCATAGTAGAAACACTTGGCAAATCTGATGTTTTATGGCTCTGCATGAATGCTGGCCATCAGTGATTCCTGCACAAATTGCTCTTAGGACCTGTCAGGTAAAAGATGATATGTGTGGAAATGCTAATTGGTGGCTGCAGCAGTATTGTACTGTAACATTTCTTCATGGAGAGGTAAATGGAAATGCTAGGGGTTTGGGTCATCAGAAACCACTTCAAGCATATTACAGCTTTAAAAACAAAATTCAAACACATGCACAAAAAAAGCCCCAAAAAATTTGCTTTCCTAAATTTCTGCAGAGATAAAAGAAGATTGTAAAATTCTGGAATTTGACAATTTTCTGGGTTTTGTAGCTTTGGGATTTTTTTTTTTCTGTTGGATTCTGAGCATGGGGAGTAGACACTGTTCTGAACCATAAACTTGTGTAACACCTTGGGAAGGGGGGAGGAAATCTTTGGAAATCAGCATTCACTGTGTAGGTTTTCTGCTTTAAAAGCCTGTCCCATGTCCCACCTTGACTCTGAGCTGTTGTGTCAGAATGTTTGTGGTGTTAAACTGTATTTTTACATGGACTGAATCTTTGATTCTATGATTTTCTTAGACAGTATTTCCTGTTGATGTGCATCATTCTTCTTCCCTGAAATGTCCCTCTGTATTTTTCCCTCGTTCCTGTGATTCCCCAGCTGACACAGAAGATGTGTGCATTGTGGAGAGGCTCTTCTCCAGTAGTCTGGTGGCCATAGTTAGCCTTAAAGCTCCACGCAAGCTGAAAGTTTGTCACTTTAAGAAGGGGACAGAGATTTGCAACTACAGTTACTCCAACACCATCTTGGCTGTCAAACTCAATAGACAGGTGAGTAGTGGTTCTGCCTAGGTGGAAGTGTGGGAAAGGGGTTGTGGATCTTATTCTGGCACTTCCACTGCTGACTGATGTCCCTTCCTTCAGTGACAGAATTGCTACTTGAAATTTAGTAGTACTTTTCCAAGTGTGGCTTCTGTATGGCATCTCAGTACTTGTATTTGATTAAGTATTTTTGGTTCTGTGTTTATGTATTTACTTGGGGAAACACCCTGAGTAAGCTGGCTATGCTTTGAGTAGGACACTGGACTAGAGACCTCCTGAGGTCCATTCCAGTGTGAGTCATCCTTTCATCCTAAATTTGAAACTATGTAAAACTGACATTTTCTCTTCAGGCCAAAATTTAAAATTATCTATTAAATTGTTATGGTTGCAAGTGCTGTTTGCTGAATTCTTCTCAAAAAATAAAATCTAAAAAAACGTCACGCAACTGGTGAATTTTTCAAGTACCTGGAAGCATAGTTTGCTGTATGACTAAACCATGAGTAGGCTCTTCAGCAGAAACAGGCTTGTCTGTCTTTAGCCAGTTCATTCAAACTAGAAAGAATGGCATCTGAACGAGAAAATCTTAATGTCTATCTTTGCCCCCAAAAAATGAGTGTGGGAGGAGGGGTTTCCGGCTTAAAGTCATGAGAGAAAGAGTGGGTAATTTGATTTCTGGCACAGGCAGTTAGTGTAAAATGAGTAATGTCTAGTTAGTCATCCACATGTAGTTTACAAAGTAAATGAGATGATGAAGGACTTAGTAAGAGTTTTAAAAAAAAAACACCATTCACAAATTATTATGGATAAGTTATAGGCTTTATGAATGGTTAAAAACTCTTGTCTGTTTTCTCTGTTTAGCAAAAGCAGAAAGTAGTTTCCATTATTTCCACATGTAAATTGGTACAGAATAAGAATTAAGTGAAGGTTTCTGGCTTGCTGGCTTAAACTAGTAATGGGAATGTCTTGGGTTTGCACTGGTGAGGTTGAGGGAAGTGGGGTGCAGTGATCACTTCAAGTGACCATGGGGCAGTGTTTGTGTCAAGAGCTGGATCTTGTGTATCTTCTGTCAGACTCTTACTTCTCCCCATCAGGTGGGTACAACCTCTCCTCTATTGGAAGGTACCTGCTGCATTTTGGGATAGATTTTTTTTAGGATTGATAAATCTGTGTGAACTCCATTTCCACATCACCATTTTGTCCTCTTTCCCTTTTCTAGAGGCTGATAGTATGTCTGGAAGAGTCTCTTTATATACACAACATACGAGACATGAAGGTATTACATACAATCAGGGAGACACCTCCCAATCCTGCAGGTAAATGTGGTGGTAGAATCAGCAGAACTCTGTAAAGTGCTTTCTGTGTCAGTGTATGAGGTTCCCTACAGGGAACCATGGTGTTAATTCTGCTTTCAAATACAGTAACTAATATGAGTGTTGTCTGAAAGCCTACATGTTTGATCCAGCTGAGAACAAGAAGCAGACTCTGCACTAAACTGCATCTTCCCAGCATTTTGGTCTCCTGGAGTGGATGTGTCAAAATGTTAGAAAAAAACCAGGGGAGATAAAAACTGGATTTTGACAGAACTTGGTATAGTTAAAGACTTTGTCAGGTTAATGCTTTAGGAATCATGGCAGACATGGGAAGTTCTACAGTTTAATCAGTTATTGTAATTCTATTGGCATTCTTCCTTTTCTGTTTTATATTAAACAAACTTATGCTAAATAGTTGAATATATTGCAAGTTGACTCTGAGATTACTCATCTTTGTTTCTATTTCTGTTGATAATTTGAGTTACTTTTGTGACACTCAAGCACACAATCAGAAGGGTTTACTGCATAAGTCTTGGAATTTGCCTGTTTCTAATCCTGTTTCTGCATCCCTTCTAGGGTTGTGTGCTTTATCAATAAACAATGATAATTGCTACCTGGCCTATCCAGGAAGTGCAACTATTGGAGAAGTACAAGTCTTTGACACCATCAATCTGGTAAGAATGCTGTTTCCACCTCTTAAGATGCAGGTTTTGAAAATTACATAACTTGCTCAAAGAGGAATTATTGGACACTTAGGTTTGTGTGCAACAGTTTGCAGCATCTCTTGCTTCACAGAATGTCAGCAAAGAAATTACAAGTGCTAATACTAGATTTGATTGAGTAGAATTGGGCAAATGGGTGGAACCAAGTAATTTCTATTTGAATTGTCTTCCTGCTGCTTGTACTCTGTATATGCCTCAGTGATAATTTTATGTACTTAGTTACTGAAAAAAATATTGAAGCTGCTGTCCAGAAAGTAAGACTTTGCCTTGAATTGCTTAAATATGCAGTCACATGTAGCTTTTAACCTGTACTGTTCTAAGGTTCTATTTTATTGATTCACTGCAGAGAGCTGCCAACATGATCCCAGCTCATGATAGTCCCTTGGCTGCTTTGGCATTTGATGCAAGTGGTACTAAACTTGCCACAGCCTCAGAAAAGGTAAGGGAGCTTTTGATTGCCTTGCCAACAGTGATAAAAATCAAATTTGTCATTAAGTATTTTAAGTGTGCACAGTTCCATGTGCAAGTGCCAGAAACGAAGGCTTACAGTTAAAACGGGAAATGTAAGTTAAGATCTGTTACTGATATTTGACACTATTTCCATGCTGTGACATGTTGGATAATAAGGTTATTTTAATAAAATATTTTAATCTGGATGTAATTAGGGCAGTCCTCTGAGTTTTTCTCCTTTTAGTGCAGGATACTTATTAGAAATTAGTTGTCTTGTTTTGATGCTGTCTTCTTAATGAAAACAAGACAGTTAAAATCCAAATAGAGAGAAGCACCTCACTAGTCTTTGGCATGTGATGACAAATTGTTCATGTAATGTGTGTAAATTAGAGTCTGAAGCCTCTGCTGTTTGGGTAATAAGCTCAGGCTATAAAGGTATAACTGATTGCATCTGATAAAGGCACAAAGACATCCAAGTGACTGCACTCATGGTACTTGTCTAGTGTGCTCGTTTTCATGATCAAATATGATAAGAAGGGCTGGTTTTGATGCACAGCTTGTTCTCTGCATTAGTAGCTCCCACCTCTTGTTTCTGTACTCTTCAAACACATCCTACAAACAAGCTCCATAAATACTTCATGTAGTATCTGGGCTGCATCACAGCAATGAGTTAACAGCAAAGTGGTTTGCTGCTTCTGGTTGTACTCTGCTCACTAGAGCTAGTGCACAATAAATGAACTTGAAATGAAAAATGATCTATTTACTTTTTTTCTTTGCAGGGGACAGTAATAAGAGTGTTTTCCATTCCAGAGGGACAGAAACTCTTTGAATTCCGAAGGGGAGTGAAGAGGTAAAGTTCAGCTGGGTTAATTATCTTACACCCATTCCTTATGGTTGACTTCCAGTATATTCAGCAATTGAGCTGGCATCCTGATTTTTTTGTCTGTTTTCATCTTCATTCATCCCTGCATGTATGCTTATAACAGTTTCAGCTTGAATGTTTTCCAATTTCATTCCTTTGGACTTGACTATTCTACAAATCAATCCTGTCAGAATTGTACTCCCTCTTGCCTTTTAAAAATTTATTGGTGAGGGAACTTGTTTAAAGTGGGTCACCTTTTGTAGGATATATTGTATTGTTATGGAAATTGGAGGCAGTACATCTAATATTCCTAATCTCTTTTAAATCCTTCTAATGCTGTGGCCATTGATAGCCATTGTGAAATGGTGTTGTGGTTTGTGGTAGCAGTAAGTCTGTGCTTTTACTGTACTTTTTAAAGGGTAAGACAGAGTTCAGAATGTTACTAATTGATAAATAGTTTGACTTCCTTGTTTTTCTTCTCTTTTTTTCTTTTTTCCCAGGTGTGTGAGCATCTGTTCATTGGCTTTCAGCATGGATGGCATGTTTCTGTCTGCATCCAGTAACACGGAGACAGTGCATATCTTCAAACTTGAGACTGTGAAAGAAAAGTAGGTTTCAAAGGTGCCTTAGATTTTTCAAGGAAAATGCTTCAAAGTTGACTTTACTCAACAGAAAGAGTTCTCAAAAGTGTGGACAGACTTCTTTTGAACTTTTACTGTAAAGTTAAGGGCATAAGAAGTCACTTATGAATCAGCAACTGCAGCTGAGCTGTGTACTGTTCTCCCACTGAGTAGAAAAGGTGTTTTTCTGCCAAAGAGAACTTGGCCATCCTTCACAGAGGAATGTGGAGCAGTTTTAACATTTTCAGTTGCATTTGTTTCACCTTCCTTGACATCCATATGGGAAGAGCTATCTCAGCAATGCCTTCCAGCTGCATAAGGCTTTAAAAGGCACTAAGTTGTAAAATGCTCCTATTTATGATTTGAGAGGACAGTCTTCATTCCATTTCAGTGGAAGTTATTTGAAACAAAATTGTTGCTTAGTGATAAACAAATTAATAAAATCCTGAAGCATAGCGCTTTCCAGTAGATTCTGCTCTTGTATAATGAATGTTATAAAAGGCAGTCTTATATGCAGAAGTACCAGTTTATAATCAAACATGCTTAAATAACAGGCTGAGGGTATTGGAGGACACATTTTGTCCTGTAGCCTAAATGAAGTGTGTTAGAATTCTCAAGGGTGTTAGTTATTTCTGAAGAGAAACAGCTGCTTAATATCTTTTAAAATGAAATGTTTTCAAGTGTTTACACACTTTTCTCTCTAAAGTGAAGGCAGAGTGGGTCACTTTTCTCTTCTGACTTTGTAGACCTCAGGAAGAGCCTACAACCTGGACAGGTTACTTTGGAAAAGTGCTGATGGCCTCAACGAGCTATCTGCCCTCTCAAGTAACAGAGATGTTCAACCAGGGTAGAGCCTTTGCTACAGTCCGTCTGCCCTTCTGTGGGCACAAAAACATCTGTGCACTTGCCACGTGAGTACAGAAATGGAGCCTGCACTCCCCACCCTGCTGGGATGCTCGGGCTCTGGAGAGGCTGCCACTGTAAAACACAGTTTCATATGCAGCAGAGCAGTGGGTCACCTGTGATCATTCCAGTTTAAGAGCAATGTGGCAGAGCTAGCACCTCTCAGTCCTGTGAGAGAAGGAGGGAAGGACATAATATTTGGATAGGAATAGCCCATTTCTAAGTGTTGTTTAAAGATGTCTTTTAATTTTGAAACAAGAATATTGAGAACAAACCCGTGGGCTTTTATGGCATTTGCTTCCATTAGTGCTATGGGGAGTGATGGTGTATGTTGTTAGTGAATTGCAAAATTAGGCAATCCAGCCTAACCATTAAAGAAGTCTTTGAAAGCAAGTTCATATAATTCTTGTCTTTAAAACAGCATAGCATTCATTAAAGTTAATTTTGAGGACTAAATCTAATCTTTTATGCTGTCTTCCTCAAAGGCAGGTCCCATTTGGCACAGCTACCAAAGTAATAGTAATGAGCAGTAGTAAACTTATTTTGTGGGGGTTTTATAGTTTTTTATGCTAAATTGACTTCATGTCTGTACTCTCACTCCTCTGATCTCAAAGCACCCTTTAAGCAATAATTAAGCTTTGTAACATTTCTCAAATAAGTAAATCCTTCCCGTTAGAATATTTGTCTCTGGAGTTGCACAAGCTTGATAACAGGATGGTAACTTCTGAATCTGTTTTACTGAGTTCTGTGTAATTGCTTGATTCCTGTGGCATCCTGTTAGCCCCAAAATGTGGTTATGCTGTAAATTTTTTACACACAGCTCTTTCCTGGGTGTGAAAATAATGCCTTAAAGTCATTTAGATGGAAAAACCCTCTGACATCAAGTCTAACCATTAAATCATGAGAAGGGAGGAGAATATACTTACTTATGTTATTTAATAATCTGTTCTTTAATAACTTCTACTCTAAACCTTTGTAGAATTCAGAAGATCCCTCGTTTGCTGGTGGGAGCTGCTGATGGGTATCTCTACATGTACAACTTAGACCCCCAGGAAGGAGGCGAGTGCACACTAATGAAGCAGCACAAGTAAGTCCACGTTAGCTGAGAACTGTTGTATTTTATTTCCTCTCAAAATCCAGTTTCTTCTCAAATTCAGTTCTGTTCTGGAAAAGTCTAACTTAGAACAGCTCATTTCTTCAAACTAATCTTTTTCCAGACCTCTGACATGAATGAGTAACTTCAGAATCCCCCTGAGCCTTCCTTCCAGGTATCCACTACACCAAGCACCGCTTTACCAGCAGAAACTTAACCCTGTCCCAGTGCAGGGAGGGATCAATCGCTGTTCTCTCTGTGCTCCTGTTTCCTCTTGGCACTTTGAGTTGAGTTACTTAAACAAGAATTTGAAACATGTGACACCATCCTCTTCATCAATAAATGAGGTGGTTACAAACATGAGAAAGATCTTACTCTGACTTCACAGAGGGGAAACTGGCCTATGAAATTATCCCTGTTCCCTCTCTGCTGGTGTCCTTATTAAACTTCCTTGCATATAGGCCAGGCAGCTGGTGTTCTGTAATAGTACTGTAGAACACTTGGAGAAGTAGGACAATGCACTGTTTTTCAATAAGGGTTGGCAGGAAAAGCTGGGCAATACAGTCAAATTACTTGATCAATCATAGAATTAAAGATAATAACTCCTGATAATAATTTAGGTTTGCAGCTTTGGTCAACCTACAGTTATGGTGAAGAATCATACATTTATCTGAACACTTGAGGGCATGACCTCTGGTTAGAGATGAAGTGAAGCCTCATACAGGGAAGCTTTTACCAAGCTCTGAATCTTTGAAATGCTCTATCACTTTCTCTAGAGGGCTATCTGTGTATGAAGCAACTGCCTCTGTTGTGACAGAGCTCAAGATAACCTATAATATTGCTGATTGGAATGGTGTTTTTTAATCATGCAGTCTTGTTTTGAGTCTTCTTTTCCTGCTATGAGCTGCTAGGATTTAGATCCTGATGCTGTGTCAGAGGCAAACATGATGCTGATGAGTCTTCAGAGAAAATACCAAGTGTTGTCAGGTGCTTTCTAGCCAGGCCTCAGGAACAGAAGGACCAAATTCCTCCTGTTGCATTTCTATATACGTTATTCTTGCACATCAGATGAACTATTTTCCTGTAGCTAGCAGCTCAAGCTGTCTTGTGCCCAGGCAGATCACCTCTCCAGCTAATCTCTCCCTTCCTGGCAGGCTCGATGGCAGCATGGAGCCCGCCAATGAAATTCTGGAGTCTGCATCCCACGACCGGCCGTTGGTAGCGCAGACGTACAGTGCCGCTGTGACTAAAGGTACATATGTGCCTTCCTCACCCACCAGGCATGGTAAGGAGAAGGCTGGGAATGGGGCAGGGAGCACCTCTGCCTGTTGCTTCCTTCTAGATGGCTGCGTGAGCTGGTCCACGTCCGCACCAAGCTTTGCGTAACCACGCGTGCGAGGTGGAGCCTTGGTGAGCAGTAGGAAAAGAGCACTCGTGGTGTGCAGTAGCTTTCTGTAGGTGGATGGATCACTTGTCTTTGCTGCTTTCGGGCTAGAATTTTGTCTTGAGTTGTGGTTGATTGCTGTAGTGATAGTTTCAGTACTTGCCACACGGTTCTTGAGGCAGTTCTGCACCCAGACCTTGTGCAAAGCACTGAATTATAGCTCTGCTCCCTTTTAAAAAAAAAAATAAATTATTAAAAGTTGATAAATGCTGCTGTTGTTCCTTTATGGGAACAGTGACCTTTTAGCCTGATTCACTGCTCTGTTGAATCAAGAGGATGAGAACTTGGTTAATGCTGCAGCTCTCCAAGTCAGTGGAGCTTTTCCACATCTGGCACCCAGCTTTGCATGCTGCCAAGGGAGGGCAGTCAGCACATACCAATGTCTGTACTGCCCTGCATCAGTGGAGACTGAAAACACCAGCCTGCCCAAAGCTCCAGGATGCATTGCACACACACAGGAGTTTAATTTTGATCACGAACTGCTCTTGGCTTGGAGAAACAGTCATGAAACAGAGTCATGATAAAAACAAACATAGGGTGGCAGTGAAACTATTTCAAGTAATGCCTGGTACTTCAGCTCTACTCATCCACTCTGGATCCAAGCCTTAGTTTGTTGCTGCTGATTTCCCAACTCCTTGTTCTTTCTCTCCAGCCTATACAGATGACCTGGGTGCTGTGGGTGGAGCTTGCCTGGAGGATGAAACCAACTCACTTAGATTGGACGAAGACAGTGAGCATCCCCCCATGATCCTTCGGACAGACTAAACTTGGACCTGTGAACTCACTCCTGAAGCAGAGAACACTGGCTTGACGTTTCTTGAGGAATCTCGTGTTATGCTGCTATGAACTTTGACATGAGTTGGGAGAGAGGATGACAGACTCTTACAGTTTTAAGTCGTAGCTGTAGTTCTAATTCTATACAATTGGAAAAATATATGGTTTTCAATTCAGTGGCTTTTAATCTTGCTTATCTATTTTAGCTGTGTTTATTTTTTTTTTTTTGTTGCCAAAACCTGCTGTTTGTGCAGCCCTCAGAGCCTACTTAGCTTTGCATGCATTCATGTGCCAAGCAAGCATAGGAGGGGGAGAGAGAGAGAGAAGCCACTTTATAACAAACTCAAGTTTGTATTTTTTTTATATATGTATATAATATTTAGCCTACATAAGGAAGGAGTAGAGAAGTGGTTCTGGAAGCTGAGACTAGTTCTGCACTGACAAAGGTCCAAATGGTTTCCTGTGCATGGGCTTGCAGGCATACCTAGTGACTGACATGCAACCTTTCAAATGCAATGGCCTGTTTTTTTTGGGTTCTCCCTTCCCTTTCCTGGACCATTTTGTTAATTAAAATTCCTTCTGAATGTTGTGTATTTGTGGGACTGTTCTGTTTGTTGGGATGGAAAACTGGAAGTGTTTCCCTGCGTAAGGATATAGAATATAGAAAGTGCCTTTACAGGGAAGGAAAGGAATTGCTGCAGGAAGAAGAGCTAGAATGAGGAAAGGTTAGAGAATCTTGTCTGTACACCTTTGGTACTTGGGTGTTTGTAGCCTGTGGTGGCTGATAAGCTTGTGGGTTTTTGAGAAAAGACTTGGAATGCACTTTCTTTCCTGTAGATTGTCCTGTTTTCTTGGCAGAGTAGCAATAACCTTTTTTTATACCTTTTTAAATTATCCAAAGCAAGGATTCTGTCAGGCTGGAGAGAAGTCCCTGTAGAGTTTGGCAGCCCAGCTCTATAAACAGCCTTAAGGTTTCCTGCCAGAAGGCTCTCAATTCCTGCTTCTTCTCAATCTGGGGCTGAGACTGCTCTAATAGTGAAAGTTATTGGTTTGGTTTTTTTTCAGATACTGATTGTAAATATAAATGATTTTGAAAATTCACTTTACTTCTGGGTTCTCTACTGCTGCAGAACAATGCTTTTCTTTCTGGGTGTTTTTTTTCCATTCCCCCTCTCATCAGAGTACTTCTTATGGTACACTCAAGGACTGGTAGTTTCTTCGGCAGTTTTGGAATAAATCCTTAACTGTCCTGACACTGTCTAGGGCTTTCCAAGGCTGAGCAGTGCTGCAGACTATTTTTAGGGTTGTAATGTGCCTTCTCTTAAGTCTTGGATAACAGTTATTGAGCAAGTGATTAGTGAAGTACTTGGTGAGTGTTACTTCCCTTTGCCAAAACAAGCCTGCTTTGCCTTCCATGTAGCAATGTGGGTTGTTTCCTTTCCCTCTACTGACTGCTTGCAAAGAAGTAAATATAAAAAGAGGCAAGGAAATTGCAGATCTTGAGAGGAAGACAGAGGCTGAGTGCTCCAGCTATGTGTGAACTCCCTACCACAGCTAGGCAGTGATGTTCAGGATTCAGCACCATGAACAAGTCTTCCCTGGAGCAGCAGCAAGCAGTGGGCTCTGTCCCCAAAACCCTGTGTGGGCAGATGGGCTTCCCTGCCTCTACAGGTACAAAGAAGGTGGCAGCCCCACCAGGAGAGCTCTGTCAGGGAGGCTGCTGTGAGTCCACGTCAGTGGAAGGTGTTTGTACACAAGTGTGTGTGGGAGAGAAGGGATCAGGCTTGTTTGTTCACTGCAAATCCTTGACTGTCCTAAGTAGGAGTGGCTTGTGGTGTCCTCTCCAGAACCCAGCACGTTCATAGCAAACCCCTGAGTCATGCTGAAATCTCACTTAGTCTCTTGACTTTAAGGTCTGGCTGACAGCTCAGTTCCATGGTGTGCAGTTATTTTATCTATATTCTGCTTTACTGCTCTCAGCTTTGCTGTGGTGTTCCAAGCTGCAGAATGAAATACAAGTCTTGAAGTAAATATAAGCTCAGTGAACTTTGCTGGCAAATTGAACCACCCAGGAGATGTCTGCTCATTCCAGACTAAAGCTGGTTAACATTCCTGATAACACCCTTGGAGGTTTGGCCTAGACTCCACAAGCACAGTTAGCAGTAAACATGCACCAGCAACACAGGTCTGCTAAGCACACGAGTTTTACAACTCTTGAGTGTAACAAAGGCCATGTTACACCCGTAAATGTAATTATTGACTTTACTGTTAAAAATGGAGATCATTTATTGTACTAATTTTATTCCCTTCTTAATTTTCATGCCTTATTTTCCACAGGTGAGTAGGAGATCCCATATTTGCTGTATTTGTGTCTTCCATATGCTGTAGTGTGTTCCTGCTCCTGAGCCACACACTGTGGAATTGCTGTGCCCTACTTGGTTCACTCTTAAGTAGAAGCTGAAAGTCAGTTAAAAGTATCTTCTTGCTGTTGTAACTAAAAAAATCTTTTTATAGAGCAAAAATATTAATGTTCTGAGTTAGTGAACAGCTAGTAGGGGGAAGCAGGTCATTTCTGGTCACCACTGGCTGTGACAGTAGCTTGTCTTAAGTTCGTTGCATGAGGATATGAACATTTTTCTCAGATAAAATGTGACTGATATAATTTCCCTGTGATGGCATTAGGCCCTCAGTAACCACCCTGTTGTGGTGTGCTACCAAAGTTAGAAGCCTTTCAGGTTGGGGGTTTATCCCAGTGACACAAAGATGTGTTTCTGTATTTATTTTTTTTTCCTTTAAACATAACCACAAATGCTGTTTGCAGCTGCATCCTCACCTGAGTGTGGAGCATGTGATTGCACTGTTGTTCTCTGTGAATCAGGTGGTGATTAAACATTTCTGTTGTGATGCTCTGACAGACCCAGGGTAATCCAAGGAGGCTCGAGCCCTGTGCTGTGGCCACAAGCTCCTGGTCACAGGATATGGGAACACCTGTGCAGCCCCTCTCAGTTTAGACTGACCTTCCTTGGAAGGACAGTGTTTTTTCTGTACAGCCTGTCTCTCTCTCTCTCCATTTGGGCTGCACTTCTTGATAGCTTTTAACTCAGTGGAGGGCTGAGGCAGAGAACTGAAACAACCAAAGCTGGGGAGGGGGGAACACTGAAAAACTTGGAATCCTAAACTCAGGTCTTAGCTTGCAGTGGGATCAGTTCCCAGTGAGTACCGTAGGGAAGGAGCTGTTTCTCTTGATGTGCAAATGGGCAGCAAGTGCAGGTCCTCAGCTGCTGTCTCAACATCTGTCTGTTTACTCTGTAGTTCAAGTTCTGAGGCAGAAAGCTTTTATCTGCCCTGGTCTCTTCTTATGTCACTGTTTCCAAAATATAAGTAATAGATATGAATCTAACAGTTAAAAGGCAGGGCCTGGCAGAGGAGGAGGAGGAAGTAGAAAGCATCAAGAGGTTGGTAAAAGCTGTTTGTTCTGATGCCCTGTTGACAAGACATTGGCACGAGTGCTCCCTTTGGGATCAGGTGTGTGCTTGTACCTGGCTGCTCTGGGTCCTGCACGGCGAGTTTCTTGGCTGTGTTTTGCAGAGGGTGGGGGTAAAGCTGGTGGCTTTTCAAGTCTGCCTGAATGCAAATAAATGCCTGAGAAGACCTTTAATGCAGTGACAGGTGTCTGCACCGAGGAAACTTGGTCTGACCTGTGTGGAATAGTGAAAAGGGAGGAGTGAGCAGGGGAGCCCCGGGCTGGGTGAGCGCCGAGCCCAAGCACAGCACTCTGTTGTGTCCCATGCTGTGCTTTCTTGGCTCAAATAATGGCATTAGCACTGACCAGCATGCAGGAGGACAGTAGAATTTCTTTCCCTGTGGGTTGCTGAGCTGTTCAGTATCCCACTGGTGTGTGCAGATGCTCCACTGCTGTTTGCAGAGCGAAAGGAGTCTTTGTCCAAAGCATTGGTGGGGATTAATCACTGCAGAGGTTTGGGAAGTTTTATTCTGTGCTCCAGCTGTCCTGGCTAACAGTCAACTTTATTTAACCTGTTAATATCTGAGAGCAAGGCCTGAGTGTCTTCTCCACATGTGGAGAGCAGGCCTTTCTTTTCCTGGAATCTGCTGGCCTGTGAAAGGCTTGCAATGAAAGCATGGCTCTGACTGTAAATAAATCTCTTCAGATTCCAGTTGTACAACCAAAGGAATTCAACAAATTCCTATTTTTCTAATCATGACATGCCTTCATTTTAATGCTCTTCCAACTGGCAAATCTCATCTTACACTGCTTTGAAAATAAGGGGTAAGAAGCTGTAATTCTGGCTTGCAAACAGCTGCCGTTGTGCTCGTGACAGGTGTCAGTGCTGTGGCTTTGGCCATGTGGCCGCAGGGACCCTGCATGTGTCCAACTCAGGAGTGGGGAGTTCTCCCCAAACCTGTAGCTCTGGGTTTCTGTGGGGCGTTGACTCAGCCCTAGGTCTCCCTGGATCTATTTGCTCTTGCATTTGCTTCCTTACCTGGAGAAAACCCTGCATCCTGCAGTGCTCACTGACTGTTTGGTATCTGTGTCAATAAGTGGAAAAATCTGTCTAACATTCCACCTCACCAAGTGTCTGGCTCTCACTGCTAGCCCGTCGCTCTTTGTAATTTTATAACTGCATAAGAAATTAAATCTGTGTTGTGATAAGTATTCTGTGTCTTCTTCCTTTTGTTTGCTACTTGGAGATGGGGCTGGATAAGATCTGGGTAAGGCTGTGTGGCCCAAACCAGAACAGCAGAAGTTTTAAGCCCTCGTTCTCAGCTATGCTTTGTAGCTGCTCTCCACAGGCACTGTCAGCTTGGGCTTTGCAGGGACTGGGAAAGGACAGGCTGAGTTTTTCCTGGCACATTTTGCTTGCAAATGTAATTTTCCCTCTTGTTCTTCCTTAAAGCTGCTCTTCCCAGGACTTGCATTTGTGTATTTTTCTCATGCTGCTCAGGTGAGTTTGATAAGTGCTTTTATTCCTTTTTTTTTCCATGGGATGCATCTCAAGCAGTGCTCTCATCCCCAGCCCGCTCGCTGTGCTCTCGCTCCAGGCTTGTTGCTTCTCGCATTCAAGCCCTGGAGGAAGATGTGGATGAGCCCTTGCAGATGGGAGAGGAGGCAGCTCCTGCTTCTGTATCCTTCCTCCTGCAAAGCATCCTTTGATCAGGGTGGACAAGAGGAGCAAAAGCCTTTCTGCTCTTGCTGGCAGTGTTGGAGCACACGAGGATGAGATGAGGATGAGATCCCCCTGCTCTCCTGCGCGGCTGTTTCATGGTGAGGTCTCTGCTGAGGAGCTGCAGGCGCCGCCTCCCCTGATCCAGCTCTGGAGGGCAATGCTGCCCTGTCGCTGCTGCTTTGTGCCTCCCTTTGCTCCAGGCAAAATTGGCTCAGATCAGTCTCCAAACTGTTCACTCGGCTGCTGGTGATGTTTCCCTGTCTCCTGCCTGCAGCAAACTGAAGATCTGAGGGGAGCTGCTGGTGGATTCAGGAAGTGGCAGTGACTTCCATCTGCTGTGGTGATGCCAACAGCTCCTCTGTCCCCTGGGTCCCAGGTGGATGGAGTCATCCAGACCCACTGATGCTTTGGGAGGTCCAACAGCCCCTCTGCTCCTGCCCTCGAGGAGCAAAGCAGAATATTCTCCAGTAAGCATGGGGAAAATTTTTGTGAACAGTGGGTCATGCCCAGCCCTGAAATAGGCAGCTGTGGTTGCCTTCAGGACAGCAGTTTCACATCTGTGTGCTGGTACTGAGTGTGACCCTCTGAGCATGAGTTTCCAGGGAAGGGACTGAGCAATCCCATCTCCAATTATTTCTGTTATTACGAGAGTAAACATGGGCTCGTGCCTCTGCTCCTCCTTGCTTTCTCTTGGTACTGAGTAGGCTTTTGGGTTTAGCTGTGATGATTGCCCAGTGGCCAGGTCCTGGCACCCTTCACTCTCAGGACTTGAGTCCAAGATAGAGCAGGAGCACAATCCTGGTGTGAACAGCCCCACTTGGGCTGTGGCTGAGCTGAACACACTGCTGGGGGCAGAGGAAGGAGGGAGATACCAGGCAGAGCAGCTCACACTGCCCCTGGCCTGCCTGGGTTGCA